ATTTATTTTTCATATTGCACCAGTACAGTTAATGAGCAACCTGTACTTGTGTGCTTGTTTGTTCTGTCTAAAATGTTTATTTTGGAATAAAGAGGTTAATATAAAAAATATTTTTTGTCCGATTCATCGATTAATCAAAAAAAATAATCGGCCGATTCATCGATTTTTAAAATAACAATTAGTTGCAGCCCTAGTGCTGCACCTACAACTTTATAAATACATCAATAAATGAGCCTTTAAATAGAACCGACAGTTTAAATGATTGGAAGCAACTCTGCTGCCCAGTAGTTCCCACAGATTCTCCACCTTCCTGCCATGGTTCTGACACATGAAGATGGTCGCCTTAAAGGAGAAGCATCAATTACTGTTTAGATGTGAATAAATATCTGTTATAAATTAATCAGTGGATGACTGTTGTGGGTTGAGATGTGTTAATTATTTTAGATCATTCAGATTATGTGCTTGAAGAGAACTATTCTGAATCAATTCTAAACTCGACTTAACATAAAATTTCTTTCCCTGCCTTTAAATAAAACTGAAAACGGTAAAAACCTGCGGTTTGAGCCGCTATCCTGCTGTATTTAAACACTCAGTAGTATTAAAAAGTCAGATGATTCAAGTTAATTTTTTTAACTATGAAGCTCGACGCAAAGTGTGAAGCAACGAGAGCTGCTCTTAGCGGTCAGGTGACTTGGTACGCTAGAAACGTTTCTCAGTGACTCTTCAAAAAAGGTATAAGATGTTTGGAACAGACTAACATCACTACGTATTAATGTCTATGGTTTAATGGACGGTTTGGGATTGTGTCCTTCTCACTGATCTGAAAAAATAGAGATCATTGGCCCTGATCTGCTGCTCTGAACCCCTATCACAAGCCATATCAATGTAGCTACTAGCTACTTAGCATTCGTCACAAACGATCCTCTGACCGGCTGCTTATCTGCTTTCTAGCTCCAGGAAACAGTCGGATATCCAGTACCTTTCTGTGCTCCGGTTCCCATCTCACTTGATGTTTTTTTCATAGATGGAAACTCGTTGCTGATTTTCCACAGAGGGTTAGCTTCTGGTAGCTCGAAGGCTAACCTCTTTCTATCAGGCCGAATATTTTCTGCCAAATCTGGAAAAAAAAGTGTGAAAGAGAGACGGCCAATGTATTGTCAGCACTTAACATAGGATGTGATGTGAGGAAATCTTACATTTAGGAGGAAACAACTACTAATTGTCCCTCATTCTCCACCTTGTTCTTTCGATTTCTCCAGCAGGGCTAACTAAGCTCGATATGTGGCTATGTTATGGCAGTTCCGGTGGCACTTCCGGTGGCTCGTTCTGGCGTTACCGCCACCTGCTGGAGGTGGAAACGCATCTAAACTATGAAGTAGAGAAGGTGTTTATTGAGATTGAGCTCTCTGGAAAAGCAGAAGCAGTGTTGTATAAAGTACTGAAATCTCGGAGTCAAGTAAAAGTCTAAGTACCTCTCCAAAATATGACTTTGGTAAAAGTCCAAGTCACTGACTGAAATGTTACTTGAGTAAAAGTCTTAAAGTATCTTAAAGTAAGTGCAGTTTGAATGACGTTTTTGTTAAATTCATTTATATAATAATAATATACACAACCAAAATTTAGACTGGCTTTGCGAAACAGGTGTATCTTATTGGTGTTGATGAACAAGCCCAGGCAAGACCAGACTTTGTAGTCGGTAGGTGGGGTCAAAACACTTTTTTTTTTTTTTTACTTAGTAACTAAACCAAACATTGAAAATGTATCGGAGTACAAGTATGCAATTAAGTTCGTAAATGTAGTGAAGTTAAAGTTAAAGTTCTCAAAAAAATGTATACTCTTGGAAAGTATAAAGTACTGCAAAATATACTTAAGTACAGTAGTGAAGTATTTTTACTTCGTTACTATACAACACTGAGCAGAAGTCATGACATCGGTATTTCTACAGGACCTCAGCCCATCGGGGTAATTAGACTGGGATTTAACTGGACTGATATTCACCATCTCCTGTGGCCATGATGACCAGGAGCTCCTTAGAAAGGAGGTTCTAATCTCACTGAGACCATCTTGGTTAAATAAAGCTTCACAAATGATTCAACATTTAAATCCTGGCTTTGCACTTTAGTCAAATAATCAATAAGCTTGATTACTCTTCCGCTATAAAAAACACCCCACCTCTCTGTCCTTATCTATAATGTTTTTAAATGCGAGAGGTCTTAAAAACTTTTTATGCTTTTTTGTTCTACACAGCAAATCCAACATGCTTAAATCTACACAGCCAGATTTGATTTTAACACTCCTGAAGTGTCTATATGGGTCCACACCAGCGAGTGTTAATTTAACTCTTTTTAGAGAGTTGGCATTGTACCTCTTATTTAGCGTTAAATAATAAATCTTTCTGGAGTTGATAATTTAACACTTAATTACACCAACTAGGTGTTAGAATTGAAATATTAACACTCTCCTGGAATGTTTTTCTAACTACATAGGAGTTATTCTCTAGAGATACTAAAAATTTTACTTTTCTGAACATATAAAAATCCCTTTGGAAAAATGAATAAAGAAGCAATTTTTTTTTCAGCAAATATTTATTTCAAAAGTGCATTACAATTGGAAAATGTTTATTAAAACATGTAACAATGTGGAACCTTTGCCAATTTCCACTTCAATAGAGAAGAGAACTAAATTTAAACTAAAAAATATTTTCATGCAATGCAGAGGAGGTTCATTTCTCCAATTAAACCGCCGTTTGCTGCATCGATTTTTATGGGAGACAGTCTTCTGATAGATGGGGATTCACGCAGCTCCATGTGTTCAAGATAACATTTCCCAAATCATTCTTTTAGGTGTGTCGATGTTGATGAGTTAAGTCAACAAATACATAAAATATTCGTCTACAAACCCTTTTTTCAACACTATAGTTACAAAGTTTACATGTTAGCTAAACATGATTAGGCTATCACCAAAGCAATGTGGCTACTGTCTATCACACGGCTCTATCTTGACTCAAAAAACACCATAGAGTTATAAAACAAATAAAAAATTTAAACCATCTGAGAGACATTAATTACCAGTCTGGGTAAACTGGTCTGTATGAGAGCAAACAGGAGAGTAAAGTTTTCTTCAGCTTTGTTCGGTACCTATAACATTGGAGGCAGAGTCAGTGAATGTTCTCTTTGGGTGTCAATTCAACTATAGGAGTTTAGAGTTGACAGACGAGTTATTTTTTCCATTTTAACGCCTCCAGATTTATTATGGAACTCAATTTTAACTAATAACATGTGACACCTCAGAGTTATATTTGTATAATATAACTCTATTAAGAGCCAAATTAACACTGTCTTTGAACAAAGTCTACTAACACCATTTTATTTAACACTTTTAAATTTGCTGTATATATACAGTTCATACAATTTTCTGTTGTATTTTTATGCCTAATGGCATCTTGCTTTAACTCTGCCCTTTGTACTCTATATAAGCTACTGGAATCAGAATTTCCCTCAATCTTAATGTTAGGACCATAACATACCTGTTTTCCAAACCAGAGAATTAAGTAATTATTTTATTATTGTTTTCTAAATAATTTCCAAAACATTTGCATCCCCATACTAAAGATTCAGCTTTGCTGGGTTCAGAATTTTTGCCAAGGCTAATCAAAAGTTAAAGGTAAGGTAAAAGATAAATAAAACAATAGCATAACTTTAATCACTGGCTTTACTTCTTCACAAACATCTACAAGGAGACAAAGAGGGATGTTCAACATTTAGACCAGAACTTTCTGAAAAACACCTACAGAAATTACTGAGACCAAGAACTGACATGGGAGAAGATGGAGATACAGCATGCAGACACAACACTTATTTGTTCCTCACAAAATATTAATTTGTGGCCATAAAATACTAATTTGTTCCCACAAAATATTTGTCCCCACTAAATACTAGTTTGTGACCACAAAATATTAATTTTCTCCCATAAAATACTAATTTGTTACTACAAAATATTAAATTCTCACAAAATGCTAATTTGTTCCCACAAAACATTAATTTGCGGCCACGAAATACTAATTAGTTCCCACAAAATAGTATTTTGTTCCCACTAAATACTAGTTACCACAAAATATTAATTGGCTCCCATAAAATACTAATTTGTTGCCACCAAATATTAATTTGTTCCTATGAAGGTTATTTTGTTTCAAAACTATTTGTGCATTGTAAGTGTGCATTTGAAGTTGTGGAGAGAATTACAGTCTAAGAAGAGAATATTTAAAAAACAATTCACAGGAAAAAAAAAAATTTCTCACCTGTTCAAATTTAAAGTAAAAGTACACACATTCTGTTCAACAAGTTGCACATCAAAAACCTCTTACTTTCTCAGTTTTTCTCCAAATGGTCCAGAACTATTGTTGCAAAGCTATTTGTGCATTGTACCTCTGTTTTGTAATTGTAGAATTTTTTATATATATATATATATATATATGTCACAATTACAACAAAAATGACACCTCTTGAAACTCTTGAGTAAAAGTACACAAATTCCGTTCTGTGAGTTGCACATCAAAAATGTCTTCCATTCAGTTTTCTACAGTTGATCTAAAACAAGTGGTGCAAAACAAATTAAAACACATGTATTAAAATCTAAAAAAAATAAAATAAAATTCCCCCTTCCTACACACACCACACCTTCTCAAAGCAATTAAAATGTGATGAACAGACATAGTCTGATCAAGTTTTATTTTAAGCTACAAAGACATTCTGAGAAGTTTGATGTCTCAAGGAATTCTCATTAGTGGGAGGCATTCGTTTAGACTTTTAAGAGCCAGGTCGCTTTATACAACTTGGATACTGGGATAGACTTTATTGTTGAACAACTACAAGGCTCTGGAAAGGACCATGGCTATTGGAAGAAATTAGTATTTTGTGGTAACAAATCAATATTTTGTGGGATCAAATTAATATTTTGTGGACACAAATTAATATTATGTGGAAACAAATTAGTATTTTTTTGTGCAAACAAATTTATATTGTAACAAATTAGTATTTCAAGGCCACAAATTTAAATTTTGTGGGAACGAATCTGCATTTTGTGTGAAGAAATTTATATTTTGTGGGAACTAATTATCATTTTGAGTCAACAAATTTTTATTTTGTGAGAGCTAATTAATATTTTGTGGGAACAAATTCGCATTTCGTATATTTTATGGGAATGAATTAGCAGTTTGCGTGAACAAATTAATATTTTATGGCAACAAATTTATATTTTGTGAGAAATAGCATTTTGTGTGAACAAATAAATATTTTATGACGACAAATTAATATTTTGTGGGAGTAAATTAGTATTCCGTGCGCATCTTATTTTTCTCCCTTGTCAGTTCTGAGGCTCTGTAAAAAAATTGATGGTGTGGAATATTTATTTTAGAAACGGTTTTCAAACGGCAAACGGTTCAGGAAAAGACTGAGTATAATGTTTAGACTGAAAACTTGTTGAAGTCCGTTTGATCAGAACTGAGTGAAGTTAAATCATTAATAAGTTAATTCTTAGTCCAATAATGATACCGGGTAACTGTTCAGAAAACAAATAATATTATTACAGCATCTGAAGAGACCTTACACTTTATCATTCCTTTAGACATCCACTAGATGGCAGTGGAACTCAGAACAGAGAAGAAAATGAAACTTTTAGACTTAAATGTTAGTGGTGCTGCTTAGATTCTTATGTTTAGTCTGATCTAGCAAAGAGAGACTCCCCACGCCATGAATCTCCATATGCCCATTCAACTTATTTTGCTTGGTGAAACTTTTTCCACAAGTGGGACAGGAGAACAGCTTCTGCCTGGTATGAGTCCTCATGTGACGGACCAGATGACTCTTCTGGGAAAAACCTTTTGCACAAGTCGTACAGAAGAAAGGTTTCTCACCTGTGTGAGTCGTTACATGCCGAGCCAAATCCCCACTCTGGCTGAAAGATTTCTGGCACCATGAGCAGGGGTAGGGTTTCTCACCAGTGTGAGTCCGGAGGTGGCGAGCCAAATCGCTTCTTTGAATAAAAGACTTTTCACACAACTCACAGGGATATGGCTTCTCACTCAGATGAGTTCTGATGTGCACAGCCAGCTTCATTTGCTTGGTGAAACCTTTTCCACATGTCAGACATGAGAAGGGCTTTTCGTCAGTGTGTGTTTTGACGTGGCGAGCCAGATTACCACTCTGCCTGAAAGACTTCTTACACAGCGAACAAGGGAAAGGCTTCTCCCCCGTGTGAGTCCTCATGTGACAGGCCAGGTGACTGCCAAGGCTGAACGATTTATCACACAGCTCACAGGGATACGGCTTCTCACCTGTATGCGTCCTCATGTGGAGCCTCAGGTGACTCCTCTGTGAGAAACCTTTAGCACAGGTGGGACAGGAAAAGCCCTTCTCACCTGTGTGGGTGGTCACATGTCGCGCCAAAGCATTACTCTGTCTAAAGGATTTATCACATAACTGACAAGAGTATGGCTTCTCTCCTGTGTGAGTCCTGAGGTGCCGAGCCAAATCGCTGTTCTGCATGAAGGCTTTTTCACACAACTCACAGGAAAATGGTTTCTCCCCAGTGTGGGTTTTCATGTGATAGTTCAGAGTGGTTTTCTGTACAAAACCTTTTCCACAAACCATACACTGGAACGGCTTCTCACCTGTATGCGTTTTTAGGTGATTACTCAGGTGACCTACATTTCTGAAAGATTTACTGCAGACCTCACAAGAATATGGCTTCTCCCCCGTGTGGGTCCTGATGTGAATAGCGAGGTGACAGTTTTTGCTGAAGGATTTACTGCAGACTTTACAGGGAAAAGGTTTTTCCCCAGTGTGACTCCTCATGTGGTTGACCAAGTTACTGCTTTTCATGAAGGCCTTCTCACAGACATGACACAAGTAAGGCTTCTCCCCTGTGTGCGTTCTGACATGAGCGATCAGAGTGCTCTGGTGGGTGAACACAGCCCCGCAGGTTGGACAGGAAAAAAGCTTCTCCCCAGTGTGCGTCCTCATGTGGACACTCAGGTTATTCTTGGTGGTGAAACGTTTTTCACAAACAGCGCACAGGAATGGCTTCTCCCCTGTGTGCGTCCTCATGTGAATACTAAGATTACTCTTCTGGGAAAACCCTTTTAAACAAGTGGGACAGGAAAAGGGTCTCTCCCCTGTGTGCGTCCTCATGTGGTCGGTCAGGTATCTATAGCTGAGGAAATATTTACCACAGATTTCACAGCTTTTATTTTCTCTCCGTCTTTTTGCTTCTGCGCCGTTGTTTAGATCTTTGCTCTTCTGCTTCAGCTCCTCATCAGTGTTTGGTCCTGATTCCTCTTGACTCTCCTGATGTTGCTTCTCAGCTGCAGGAGAGTCTGCAGACAGAAGCTCTTCTGGCTCGTCTTTTAAACCCATAGGAATGACCATGAAAGTATTGTCCTCATGCTTTACTTCAAGTTGTTCCTCATTTTCATTGCTTCTCACACCTCTGTGTTCTTCTTTGATCTGCACAGGTTCTGGTTCCTCTTTTGTCACTCCAAACCATTGCAGCTCTGGCTCGCTCTGAGGCTTTTCCTCACATGTAGAGAATCCAATAAAGGCATCCGTCTCCTGCTTTATAACCAGCTGTGTTTCACCTGGATCGATGCAGAGTCCAAGCTGCTCCTCTTTGATTCCCAGAGATTCTGCTTCCTGCTTGGTCTCCCCCCTCTGCTGAAGTTTTGTTTCTTCCTCCATCATCCTCTGCCGAATTATGCTCTTTCTATCTTGGCCACCAGGAGGTTGATCAGTAAGAAGCTCCTGGGCAGACATGATGCAGTGGAGGTCTGAGGGATAAAAGCAAAAGGTTGAAGATTAGATTTTTAGGGTGAGAAGTCAACTCAGATTGTTCCTTTCAGAATGACGGAAAGTCTAAGGAACTGACAGACAATCAGTAAAGTTCAATACATTCCAAAAAAGTTAAAACTCAAACCACTGCACTTTGTTTTCCAAGTTTGAAGATGTTTCGCTTTCAACCTAGGAAGGTTTTTCAATTCTAAATGTCTTTATAGCGTAGCCCGACAAAGCCTTGTTATGGCTCAAAAAACATGCAAATTGAACTGGAAAAAAAAAAAAAAAAAACAGGTTCCACTTAGTAATGGGGAGTCGTTGAGGTGGTTGTTGGCCTGCAATGCCAAATACTGGCCTATGCCTCTAAAAAGGGAGTTGTTAGGGTCATTGTTGGTGAAATGTTTTGGTCCCCTGCAGAGTTATGGGGGTAGAGATGATAGTGGGAAGTAGGCAGCTCTATTGCTGCATTGTAGGTTCTGAGAGCAGTTCTGTTCAACACAGTTCCAGCTCCAATTCACATCATTTCATTTCAGGTCACTTTATAGATCTAGATCAATTAAATGATCCAATCCCTGACTTTGTAGGACGAGCAGTTAGAGACAGTAAATATTAGCTTTCACTGCACCAGAACCAGGCTCAGTGTGAGCAGCCTTCTGCTGAGGATGACAAAGACATAGAAAAGGAACAGAGATGCATTGATCAGTAAATACTTTCTACACTAGAAAAGCTAATGGTAAACTAGCTCTGCGGTCAAAAAATTCAAACACAGTCTGTTCAGAGGAGTTAAAGTTTTGAACTTCCTTTTAAACAACAATATAAGCTGAGAAAGCCCTTACAGGCCGCTAGCAGCATTGCTTTGAATGAGTCAGTCTCTCTCTTGTGTTTGATTTCAGCAGCTGCTTCCTCCAAGGACCCAGTCTACCTGTGAAAATAAGGAGGCCAGAAGAGATTTGGCCACAGATCCCGCCTTCTCCGACTCTCACTGCCCCTGACTTATTCATACACTGTGTCGCCTAGCAACCATGACAGCTGACACACAAAGCAGGAAAAGAATGGATGCCGAACTTCTCTCTACTGTCCTGGGTGATAACATTGTTGAGGAGCTGAAGCAGCAGTACCGTTGTCTTAGATATCAGATTTATAGTCCCCACACTGCAGAGATATTGGAATCTAAGCTTAAATGTCAGCCATTTGCACAGGGACAGATAAAACCTTTCAATAAACCCAACATTACCTGCCACATGTCTGACTCAATAACCATTTAAAACTATTTGAATTCATTTTCCCTCTGAGCACAGAGGGGCTGCCTGCTTGGTCTCATAATGAATCATGAGAAACCCAAGGCTACAGAGCATATAGCGGACCTGTCCCTCAAAGGAAGCCTGCATTTGTTGGCTGCATAATGAGGAGTCTTCCAATCCAAACAGGCCTTGCCTTAGGAAAGGCTCATTGTGCTAATCCTCGCCCCATAAAAAAAAAAAAAAAAAAAAAAGCATCTGTGTTGTGGTTCTGCTGTTAGACCAGTTTGGACCAGCAGCTCTAGAAGGAAGAAGAATTAATCAAGGAAGCAGAAATATGTCTCATTAACTAAGGGCAAGAGCTAACGTCAGCTGTTAGCTTAGTTAGCGTTGGTGTGTAAGGGAGCTCAGACTGACGGGTGGTGCTCTGGGTCACAGAGGAGAGTTTATGGAGTAGAGCAGCACAGAGGGAACATCGATACGCAGAAGGAGATAAAGATGGAGCTAATGGGGTCATTTAAGGCAGGTATGCCCAAAGTTGGCCCTCGAGGGCCGCTCCCCTGCAGGTTTCAGAGGTTCCCCTGCCCAGCACAGCTCATTCTCATGACAGTCAATTAACAAGCTTCATCTGAACTGCAATCATCAGAATCTAAAGCAGTACCTCTAAATCCTGCAGGACAGCTGCCTTTGAAGACTCACTATGGGCTTGCCTGATTTAAGGGATCTCAGATTAAGCAAATAATGGGGTCAAAGGTCACACAGTGCTGTTTTAAAATCGGAAAGGACTTCATTGAGTTTTCATGCTCTACTAATCTGCACTAAAACTGCCAGGTAACTCCAAAAATCTTGAAATCTTGAATTAAACCCATTTGAACCGTTTTGTTTATTCAAACCTGCTAGAATAACAGGTTTAACAGACTGTAGTAATCAGAATCAGCTGTGCTGAAGCAAAGAAACACTAAAAACCTGAAGGATAGCAGCCCTCTAGGACCGACTTTGGGTATGACTGGTAAATGGCCTGTACTTATATAGCGCTTTTTTTTAAGTCAGGAGACTTTACACTACATTCAGTCATTCACCCATTCTTCCTCTATTAATCACCTCATTGTTCCTTCCTTCTAGACCTCCTGCACCGTGGGGAGCAGACCTTTTTCTTGGGTCTTTATCCTTGTTCGAATCAAAACTTGAAATACATCTGTTCAAGATTGCTTTTTCACTATTTTGTTTTGTTACTTTCCTGTGTTTAGTTTGTGTTGTTTCTTTTAATTATGACAATGTTGCTATATCTATTATTGTTTTTACCTGTACAGTGTCCTTGGGTGTTTTGAAGGATGCTCTAAATAAAATGTATTATAATTGTTATTTAATATTTAGGATATTTTTATTTTTGAACCCGTTGTACTTAAACAGATGCTCCCTGCATTTAATTTGTAAACAGACCCCATCCACTGTGTACTTCTGTTATTTGTCTTCAAGTTGAATTTAATAACAGAAGATAAAATAACCGATTTATGTAGTTTTATGTCAGTTCAAAATTACCATTTAATACAAGATATCATGTCCTAAAGTCAATCCTAAATGTATTTTCAGTGTTTTTAAACACTTTCTGTCAGCTAAGGTTGATTTTCTTCTCTCTCCCTGCAGGACGAAAGCATTAATATGCAACGATATCTTAGGTTACCAGTCGGTTCTGCAGTTCAAGGACTAGGCTGTGTAGATCAAGTGTAAGCAGTAGGGCTGAAACAATTAATCAGATTAATCAACTATTGAAAGAATCATCAACTAATTTAGTAATCAATTAATCAATAACAGGAGTATAAAGGCTCTAAAAAGGCTTTTAGCTGACAGAGCAAACCACTAAGAGCAGTAATTATACCAAAATGTTAAAAAATATATATATATATATATATATATATATATATATATATATATATATATATATATATATATATATATAAAATAATAATTTACATCTGTCAATATGCTCTATACAGAACTCCTCAAGTGGAAAAGGTTTATTTCACCTGGTTTAAATTCATAAAAAATGTTATTTAAGAACCTTTGGCTATCCAAATATTAAACAGTTAATTAAAAAAATAACTACCCGATCAATTGGTTTACAAAATCATTAGTTACAGCGTTAGTAAGCAGGCCACCAACATCTAAACATCAGTTGCAACTCTGATCTTACTTTAAGCCAGTAGAGACATAATGCATAAATAAACTCACCCAACTCATGAATAAGTAGCTGATTTCATAGCAATACTATTTGGTTACTACTATTAGCACTGGAGAGTGTAGGGTTGGGAAGTCTCATTCTATCATGGTCTGACGACCAAATAGGATTGAGAAGATATCATAGCCAGTCCAGTTCAGGGACAGAGCTGTGTTGACACTGGTGTCTGGAAATAGCATATTCTGTAACACATTTACAAAACTGGTGAGTGTTTTATGAGCAAAATAAACTCCATAGGAAGCATTTTGCATGTAAAAGCGATCTTCTCAGGGCTCTTAAACTAAGCATCCACAAAAATGTCTTACCTGGGGCTAACCCCCCTCCATATAAGGCTCTAAAGACGCCCCTGTCAGAACACACAGAGGATTTAATTTGCAATAATCAACCAGTTCTGCGTTTACTACCATTTAAAACTAGTTGCACATTATTAAAAATGAGCCAGTAGAGCTAAATTTTTTTAACTTGATTGTGTTTTCAATTTCTTGTTGTTCATGGTGGATAAGTACAATAAGTAAATAAAACTAAGAATATCAAATACTCTACATACTGTATACAGTATGTATACAATAGTGTACAGTATGTAAAAACTGTATTAAATCAGAAGATACTCAGTAGTAAATTAAAAACCCTACAGGGAGCTTATTCTAATTAAAACAAAGCTTCTGCGCTCAGTGCAGCGTTACTGACCGATGTTTCCCCTCCCAATATGGCGGACCCATCGACATGTCGCCGTCCCTCAGAGGCAGTCAGAGAGCCGAAGCCTTTCATAGAAACGGTCCTGTATGGTCGGAATGGTTCCACTCGCTTCCAGAACAGATCAAACCTTCATTATGTCTTAATTTTCTCCAGCACTTCTCACTCTAAGGGGTTTTTCTCGAAAAGGAAACTGTCTGCTTCTCCTCCTCCTCCCAGTGTTAGCTTCTCCGTTATTTGGGAAGCTAACTGGTCTCTATCAGGATGCTAAAGCAGAAAATGGCAACAGCAGACGAACTGCTTAACTATCAGCGAACAGAAAGACAGAGGATGACATGGAACCGTTAGATGTAAAACAAACGACCGCCACCTGGAACAATAAAGATTGTCTCACTTCTTCTTCTTTTTCTTCTTGTTCTTCTTCTACTACTACCATACTGCTTGTTTATGGAAGCCCGTTTCCGCCACTCTGTAAACGAAATAAAAAAAAAAAAAAATTACCTCATTATTACGGAGCCCCCTAGGGGACATGGGGAATTTTGATCATCAGGAGTCTCTCGGTCTGTTTGATGATTTTTGAGTATCTGCACTGTATAATCACAGAGCTATTGATTAAAATAGGATGATATTAATGCTTAACAATAACAAAAAAATTCTAAAAAAAAAAAAAAAAGGTGTATTTTTCCAAACCAGCTGTTGAAGTGCAATCACCAAGAGCCCCTTGGTGTATGTGGTGATTTTGGAGTCTCTGCACTTTATGGCAGTGGAGTTATTGATTTTTATTTGCAACGTTTTGCTGTTGTTTTACCATTTGCAGACGGTCCCTAACCACTGGCCTGGCCGCTGCCTGTGCATAGAGATCAATGTAATACATCCAGCTCGGAGAATGGCTTGTTTTTCTCGAAGATAACGCTTTTTGATTGTTGTAATACGTAGTCTGTGGTATCAGGACAAGAAAGAGGCGCCATTTGTGTTTCAACAACAAGAGTTATTGATCCCAGAAGTCCGAATCTCATTTAAATGAAATAGGGATAAAGACTGTTATATATTTAAGAAACTCATATTATAACTACCGTAAAATATATTCAGATGGTTCTAAGAATTTAAAATGACATGTGGGAATAGGAATATATAGACCAGTATGTATAGTACCAGAAATATACATTTCTAAAAGAATATCAGATTGACTATCTGTTTTTACAGCAGAAATGGTGGCAATTTTACCAAGCTTACAAGGTAGAGGAGGTTATGTGGAGGTATGTACTGATTCCAAAGCATTTATAGAAAGTATTCAAGGAGAAGGGAACAAAAAGCAATTAAAATTCCTTTTGAGAAAGGGGCAGGTAAATCACTTATTAAGAGTAAGGAAATGGGAAAATGGCAAAAGAGATGGAAAGAAGATAAGAAAGAAAGAGGATTATATAAGGTACAAAAATCAGTATTAAATAAAATCATTAATGAGAGAAACCGAAGGGAAGAAATAATAATGATCAGATTAAGAGTGGCCCATACCTATTTAAATGACAACTTATATTTCATAGGGAGGAAAAATAATGATAAATGTGAAGGATGTGGAGAAAAAGACAATGTAGAACACGTACTGATGTGCTGTAAAACTTATGAACATGAAAGGGAGAAATTGGGAAGGATGGTTGGAAGGACAGGCAAAGAATGGAGTCTGAAAGAAATATTGGGACCTGAAGGAAATATAAAGGCTATTTATAGATTAAGGAAAACATTATTTATTTAACAACCGAATACAAAATAAAAAAAATAGAATTTGATGTAAAGTAATGTTGCTGCACACTCATGTACACTAGGTGGCGGTATGCACCTTAAAGTTGCTTGCGATCCGCCATAATAGAAAAGAAGAAGAAGAAGCCGTCAGCGGAAGTTTGCTTTATGCTTCCTGGCGGGAACGCGGTGTATTGAGAAGCTGCTCTTGGGAAAGGTTGTTGTCTCTAAACTGTATTTATCTCCTGTCTTAAAACCTACTGGTAAGATCAAAAACATATCTGTTCCGGTCGCTTGGTTTGTTCGGTTTGGTAATGATATTAACAGGAAAGACGCTATGGCTACATTAGTTAGCAAGCTAATTCAAACCTTACCACATAATTTAGTTACAGACCAGCTACTGCAGGATGCCAACAACAGTGAAAAGATGTATGTGTAGATATTTGACCCCCATTTTTTCTCTTCTTTTAATGCTAAACCGAGCCAAACATTTGTTTTCCATCTTTGATTAAGTTGACCTGATTTGCGCATTCCTTTTATCCTAATAATATCAAAATTATTCTGTCTTCTAATGTTATTCTTTAATCTCGACGTTTTATGCATTATGACGTTTTGAAAAGACACCTCTGTATTCAATTTATTTTTATAATATGCTCCCAATCAACAACACATGTCATCTGAAAGCCCTTTAGCCCATCTGAAAGCCAATAACGTACTTTAACTGTAATATCCAATTACCTTCCACTGCACTTTAACTTAGATAGCATCTGTCCAAACTCTATTTATTCATTTTATAGTTAAACCCATCTGTATATTATGCTATTGTACATAACTGTAAAAACCTTTTTTTTTTAAATATAGTAATATCCATCTTATATTATATTCAGTACATATCCAGCTGTAAATTTAGTTCATAACACTAGTGATCTATATATTATATTCATTATTTATAATAGTATTCAACAATATACTCATTCAATAGAAATACCCACGTCCTGTATTTATGGAACCATTATTTATCCTGCACTTGCTGCTATTGCACTTCTGGTTAGACCTAAACTGCATTTCGTTGTCTTGCACCTGTACCTGTGTAATGACAATAAAGTTGAATCTAATCTTTAGAGAGATCATCCAGTCAGATGGACTGTAGACTGTGGGCAGGATACACATGTTTTTCTTACAGTGCTCTCTCTGCTTTTGCTAATTAGGAGGAATCATGCAGGCTTTTCTCAAAGGAGCAAATTTTCCGACAAGCAAACCTCAGAAGGAGAAGTCAACAGCTGGACCGAGTGCAGAGAAAAAAACCAAAGCCATTCCCTGGGTAGAAAAATAGTAAGTCTGCAGTCCAAAACTCATCTTTACCTCTGTGACCAAATGCAGAAAGAACACCTGTGAAACGTTTACCTTCCCCTACTTCATGTTTAGTCTAGCATTTCCAGTATAGAAGAAAAACAGTCTCATCGGAATCTGCCTTTTTTTAACACCGAATTTTAAACACCGAATTTTTTGAACACTGATTTTTTTTAACACCGAATTTTAAACACTAAATTTTTTTAGACATTGAATTCCTTACACTCAATTTTTATCTGGTAAAAATTCAGCTGCAAAAAATTCAGCTGCAAAAGTGTTGACCTTTTGGTGAACTCAAGCCAAAGCAATCTACACTCGATAGAGTCGAGCAGCTTCTAGCAATGAAATTAGCTCATTTGGTCATGTGACACAACGGCTGGGCTCAGCGCTGTTCCCGCCTGAATGAGGATTTTTTTTTTTAAATAGAATTACAAAACGTCAGTTAGCCACTAACAGACAGCTATTAGAGTTTTTCCTCTTATTAGACTGGGTGAAACAACTGAGCTGATCACAGCTAGTACGGCACCCCTGTCTGTTTGCCGCCGCCATGTTGCTTCTGGCCGAAATGAAGAAGAAAAAAAATTTGCCGCCAGCCGCTTCTTCCAGATCAAACCAAGAGCCTTGGCAGAATTTTTACCAGATAAAAATTGAGTGTAAGGAATTCAATGTCTAAAAAAATTCAGTGTTTAAAATACGGTGTTAAAAAAAATTCAGTGTTTAAAATTCGTTGGTAAAAAGAATTCAGTTTTTAAAATTCGGTGTTAAAAAAAAGGCAGATTCCAATAAGACTGTTTTTCCTCCATATTCCAGCAACTATGTATAAATCACTACAGTGTAAAGTCCATCCACTTAGCAGCATGTTTATCCGTAACAGTATTAGTACCATCTTTATGGACTTTGTTTGTTTATTTTTTTTGTTTGTTTTTTTTACTTCAGCAGACCCAAATCTGTGGATGAGGTGGCCTTCCAGGATGAAGTTGTAGCCGTGCTGAAGAAGTCACTCAAAGGAGCAGATGTAAGTTTTTTCCATACTTTTTAAATATGTGCTATACTGAGCTCACTATGCAAGCAAGATGGTTTGTAAATTCACAAACTCCTGTAAATACATTATGCCGGAAGCCAACTGACTGATAGCCGACACAATGACATGAGAACACGTGCATGATGTCACGGCGCCAACCAGAGGCAGAAGGTTAAAGCAATACAAAGATGCTTGCACTGGTTTTAGCTGGAATAGCCTCCTTTTCTTTTTGAAAAAAGCAACAAAAGAGCAAGATTTTGTGCCTTTTTGGATGGTAATGCCAGTTAATCTTCCTCCAAGAAAGATTTGGTAAGAATTGGATGGATCATTTAACTCCGTGAAACAAATAAAGAAGCTGCTACTGCTGTTGTGATTGGCTAAAAGCTTGACATAATGTTTCTAGCTAAGAATATTTCAGAGGGTTCAGGGCTCAATGTTAACCATTGCCCGATCTCCCGGGGCGTGTAGTTTTTATTGTTGGGAGAGAACAAATTTCATTGCATTTGCCCGCACTGCAAATGCAATGATCGCAAAAAAAAAAAAATTATTTATCACTCAAAATTACTTTAAAATCACAGTCATTCGATGAAAACAACCCAGAAGCGTTGCCGGCGCCATTTTTGCTGTTTTGTACACATTCTCGCGTGATTTGAAAAAGCCACGTGATTTTCCGCCAGATGCTGTGATTTTTGTCCGGGAATTGGCGCGAATCAGACACATATTTTCCGACTTGGCAGGCTAAAAAACAACAAGGCAAAAAAATGTAAGGACAGTAACACACCCACCACCTATTTTATCCTCTACCCATTTCACCCACCACTCACTTAGCATTGGAGATCCTCTTTACCCACCACCCATCCTCATCCATTCACTAAACATCCACTTTTACCCTTCACCCATCTTCCACTTTTCACCTAACATCCTTTTCACCCATTAGCCACCTTCTACTATCCACATAACATCTATTTCACCCACCCTCCAGCAGT